GCCGGATCTTTGGCCGTGGCGGTGAATGCGTTGGAGCACGGTGGACAAATTGGGATGGTGTTTGAGATGTATAGAAACTCTGCTGGATTCTTTGGGTTGCTGGAAGATTCGATTAAAGCGACGCTTGAAGAGGGAGACTGGGAGAGGAGGGAAAATGGACAAGCGTTTGAGAGGAAGGTGGCTTTGAAATTGGGGAGAAGTTTGTCTCAGTTGAGGGAATTGGCTACTAAATCTGCTGCTGCTAGAGAGGAAGGGATTTCCATAGATGAATTTGCCAGCAAGTTGTTCTGATTTTTTTCTTTTTAAGTTTTGATTCGTTGATTCTTTTGAGATGGGAAATGCTATGTCCAATGTCCATCCAATCGTGTAAAGAAAATAACATTTGGTCAATATTATCTAACTCTAATTTTGGTTTAAGATATTGTTTGCGCTTGTTGATCAGTATTTTGTTTATTTTCCTGGAAATTTGACCTGTGATATTCTAGCTGACATTTTCATGCAATTCTTTTTACTAAAGAAATGAGATTTTATTTAGTGGGTAGATACACTCTACTTTTGCTATAAATAAAAAATTATTGAATAAGGTACCTACATATCTAATAATCATTGGGATGCAAATTCGAAAAAAATCATGCGAGTTCAAAATAGATTTTATAATTACATAGTAGATAGAATAAATCATCTTTATTGTTACAAACTATTAACATATTAAATACATGATTTAAGTTTTTTTATCAACAATCTATGAGGGGTGAATTTGAACTTTCAACCTTTTAGCCGATGATATATGTCACTGAACTATACTTTAAATTATGGAAGTTAAACTATAGAAATTAAATGGAACGGTTCTTGCATAGATTTGGCTTGCACAAGCAATTGAAGTTTGAGAGCAAGTAGTACGTATCATAACGGATTCAAATATACCAAAGTGCTGGGGTTCTCCACCTTTTTATAAGTAGTAGTAGGTAGCTGAACTTAGTTGGTGGGCTCGAAATTTCAACCTTTTATCATGGAACGACCAATTTGCTGATGGTATTCACTGCGCTCAATCAGTCCCGCTAACCAATTGAGAATCCGAGTTAGCCTACCTTCATTCGACAATTCTTGTGAGGCTAATTTGAATTGTCCTCTTGACGATCCACAGGTGTCGAGCCGGTTTTCTTCCTCATAACAAGAAGGTTTTGAAATCGTAGGAGCTCATTGATAATTCGACCTAAAATCTAAGGAGAGGAGTGGTTAAGAAAAAAAAAGATTTAAGAAAGAGAGAGGATAGAAGGGAGTTTGTCGTTTTTCCATTTTTTATTTATGATAGAGTTTTGTCGGTTTTAATTTACAGAAAATTATACAATTTAGATCATTGTCATTTGTCAACGCCTATTTTCAAAATTGTCTACTTTTGAAAACAATTTCATATTTGTCCTTTTAAGGATTAATTGTAGTTTTGATTCATGAACTTTTATCAATTTTTTATTTTCATGAAATCCTTTTATTTTAATCTCTAAATTCTGTAAATTTTGGTCTTTCTACTATGTAATGATGTGTTTGTGTGAAATCCACACTATTATTCTTACAGAAGATTAAATGTAAAATTTCAAAAATCTTGAAACTAAATAAAAATTAGTCACAAATTTATTAATTAATAAAAGTAGATTTATTTATTTTTTCTTGCAATATACTTAAACCCTTTACAAAATATATATATATATAATAAAATATATTATTTAAACCTTATTAATTTAGATGGTTTAAAACAAAAAAGAACAAAAAGGCCTTGGACACGTAATGGATCTTGAAGGACGGGGATGAAACTCACAAGATTGAAAATATATGTCAATTATTGCTGAGCTATGCTCGCTTTGACATAAATGTGAAAATTTTAATAGTTATGGTTGAATTGATAAGATTTCATTTAGAGTGTATAAATGACGTGTGATGAATTATCTCAAAGAATTTTGAGTTCGAGCATAGTTTTATGGATAAGACTATATATAAGGTTAATATTTTTGTTGCTACCTACGATTTTTGAAGTAAAAAATTTAATTATGGACATTATACTAAATGATATAAAATAAATATATATTTAACCACTTCGATAGAAAAATATAAGTGTATTAACTATTAAGCTATAATCGAGTTGGCACTGTAATCTCATACGCAGACTCTCAAAGATAATTGTATTAAATGTTGATGATCATGATGTCGTGCCTATTTTTAATCATACACATAAAATCCTAATTTTGTCATTGAACTTAAAATCTTTATTTTATAGACTTTTAAAAAAAACTAATTTGGTCTCAAAAGTTTTTTGGAAATATATTTTAAACTCAATTATTTTTATATAAAAAATTTTGGTTCTCATTATTATTTTACCATGAAGTATTTAACTAACATATGATGTGATTTCGTCCATTTGAATATAGCTCAATAAATAAAACACTGATTATCTTTTTTAATGTCAAAAGGTTCCATTCTCCCCATGACTTTGATATATTCAGTGCATTAATATATTAAGTTGAGGCAAAACAAGTATTACGTGACAAAAGAACAATAATGTCAAATTGTTCTAATTTTTAAAAAGTCAATCTAAATATAGGTATAATTCAACTAGTTAACACTACTGCGTTTAAACTAAAACTAAGAAGCATCATCACGTAGTACCTCCAAATTAAAAAGAAAAAAAAAGGCAAAAGATATATTTTTTATTCTTTTAAAAAATTAATGAGTACTCGAACTGAGGGGGCCGGGGCGAGGACAGCCAAGAAGAGAAAAATAAAAGGAAATGGAGTTTGATTTTATGAGAATATTTGGGAACCATTCGAAAAATTGGTGGCTTGGGATTCAGTTACGAGCAACCCTTAGATTCATTCTGCACTAAATTACAGATATTATGGCGCACAAATACATCACTGTTTGTCTTTCTCAACCAAATTACAGATATTCAGTCCCCTCCATCTTCACGCTCATTTTTCTCTCTGCATTTGATCTTTATCCAGATCTTCACCAGGTTGGTCCCTTCGATTTCTTGCTTAATTTATCTATCTTATTCGTCGGATATCTTTTTCTTATTCCTGCTGAAATTTGAAGTTGGGAGTATGTATTGAATTTCGCAATAAATCGGGTCTAATGGAAATCACGCACCTCCATTCGGTAATTCATTACATGCTTGATACACAGTATTTAGTGCAAAGAATCAGTTTCTGATATTCTTGATGGACAAAGAAAATGGGGAAAAACGATGGGTGTAATTGTTCAAATCACATGGCGGCTAGGAATGAAGCTTGAGAAAAAAGAGAAGTCAGAAACGATGATATATGTCTATTATGTACATATTTCATTAACCTTTATTGGGATAGTCTAGTTCAATGGTATCTCAACTATTGGTGAATGATATTCATTTCATTTATCAACAAACTCTAGAATCCACTTTTTAACTCCATTTATGCTGAATTTGGGTGCTTAATTTTATGTTCTCTCTCTAAGGTGTGTGGTGTCCTGTCTTGCATCTGTTTGAAGGAAGTTCTATCATGGTTGAGCCATGTTGACGGTATATTCTCCGGGAGCTAACAAGAACTTTCTGGCATGTCCAGACTCTATTCCACAGCCTGAGGTATCTCATGACAAGATTATGCATGCTAATTCCCTTACTTGTAGTACCTCAGTTTCTCCGTGCTCTCTAAGGAGTTCTTGCAATAGCATGCTTCTACACAATCCCTCATCTTTTAAAAGGTGTAGTCAATTGAATGCTCATTATGTTCTGAACCGATTCGCTTTCAGAAGATGGCTAGTAAGTAGCTATTATATTCTGTTGACGTTTTTCTGATTATGGTGTCCTAGTTCTTGATATAAATGAATTCTGTTTCCTTGAATATTTCAGTGCTGCTCAGATAGTTCCACACCTCCTTCAGACGATGAGTATCGCTCTTCTCGCAACATAGCTATCAGTTTGTTCAGGCGATACCGGAATTATGTTGATCGAGGAGGAGGCGACAACCTAAAGGTGCATTCTGTAGTTGACTTTGATCCTTCCTTCTCTTGTGAGGTCTCCATGCTGTCTTCCTAAAGAAACATTGTCTGATAATTATTAGGATTTCATTAGTGCTGGGGTGAATGCATATGCACTTGGTTGTACAGATGAAGGGTTAAGAAAGGAACTTATTGACATGAAAGAATCCGGTCTTGAAATTGAAGTAATGCAAAGTTATGGTGGAAGCACTGGTTTGAAATCCAAAATCATCTCAGAGGAGGTATGTTACATCCCATCCGACATGGTCAAACTTGTATCATAGGCTGTGTTAACGTTCTCCACAGATATTTCTGTTTAAATTCATACAATTCCCCAAATCTCGATTTGCTGCGATGTTTGCTTCATAGAGGGTATGAATGACACTTCCTTCCTCATTTCTCTGAATGCAGATTGAAGAATGCATTCTGTGGTTGAGCATTATATTTGTCACCATCTTGTGTACACCACAACCAACTGTAGTTAGATGGTCATCTACACCTTCAGTGTCAGATGAAGTAAGGCTTCAGTGGAAAGGCTTTTGTGCTCTCATTGCCAATGCATATTATGTGCGGGGCATGGCATGGTAAACTGTTCCATTTCTCAGTTTGCGTTGTTTGTGAACTGCGCATTTGTAATTCACTGCTCGTGGTTGAGTTCAGTTGTCTGAGCAAGACTCTATTTGTTATTTTATGAAGGCTGCCGGTAAAGACTCTACAACTTGAGCAGATGGCAGTGGTGGGACGAGCTGAGGAACCTTCAGTTGTTGCTAGCCGAATGCGTCTAGTTTTCAGCACGCTTGAGGTTAGTCTGGAACAACTATAAGCTCCATGGATTATATGCTACCAATATGTCAATAACATTGTTTTTCTTCTGCTTTGAGATTTTCTTTGTTATGCCAGTTTTTATAGAGAAATGTAGTAGATAGTTGAAGTTTCATCATTGTGATATGTGCAGGTGGTTAGTCCACAATGGCCTAAAGTATAGTGCCAGATAATCGAAAGATCCTCCTGCCAGAAAACTTGGCAAGTTACCCTGATTACACACGCAGAATGTGAGTCAATGTAGCTCAACCATCTGTCTGGCTCAATTTGTGGCAATTTGTAAACTAATCTTCGAGCTTTTTTTTTCCCTTTCAATAACACTTTCTTGTTATTGTTTATATATGTTACAATAATTCTATCGGCAAGAATGCACAGCTGTTGTCCCATATTTGTTCTATTATCAGGAATTTTCTTCTTCTCATGTAATATCAATCACAATTCATGGGTGGCAACCTGCTTTATTGATTATATAATCCCTTCAGTTAATAATATAGGCAGTTCAAATACTGAACTCATAATTCATCATACACCCAGGGAAAAACGATAAAAACAGGGAATTCTGAACACTTTCTTCCACTAGAAACGAGGTGGAGGTAGAGAATTTGGAAGTATTTCCGTTGAACTGTATTCCATTAAAAGTTGTGCTTTTGCATGTGTAATGTTGTACACTATGCATCAACTGGGGAGGACAGATATAAGAAACATATTCATTGGCCGGGCTCTGTAGATGACATTTTTATCCGTTCCTAATCGCCAACATTCAATCGATTCACCGTTCTACCTAAAAGGTCAAAATTGATTTGATAAATATACATAATTTCTACAAAAAATCACAAATCGGAGGAAGTAACAAGTGCTGTGGCATCCTTTAACGTTTTCCTTGCACGCCAACGAATTGCAGCTGCAGTTTCTGATGATCCTATCTGTAAAATCAACAGAAACAAGAACTCATGAATACATTGGAGGATAAAATGTAGTTGGAAAAGAAGTAACTATGTGATTCATTTTTTCTGCCATTAGCATGTAGATCGGTGCTGAAATCCCTCGGACTACCATATTTTAACAAACATATGACTTATGGATGACCAAATAGAAAAGATCACTGATATGTCTTATAGATGTACATTTAGAGATTAATATGGAGACTGAAAGGTTACCTTAGCTTCCATTATACAGTACTCTTGCCACAAACTAACATCTTGGTCATAAGTTGTAAGTGCAGATTCAAATAGCTTACGAGCATTTGCGAGGCCATCTTTATCCCCAGCAGATGCAAGGTTAGATTCCAGCTGAATACATGTTCGATACATAGCACGCCCTGGATGGGGTAATCCAAGAAATCTGTTGAAAACAAGGGAACAAGGTTTATAAACGGAATTGGAAAACCCCAAACAGTAGTTTTCTATGGGAAAGACTATCATGGAGATCCACTTAACAAAATTCCTTATAAAAGAAAAATTACTTCTTATACACTTCTCTTGTACGTTGAATTCCATCTTTTTGTAGAACAAAATCAACAATCGTTGAGGAGAGTGAAAATCCATCCTCACTGCCACCGTATTTAGCTAATGCTAAAAGAGAAATTTCCAGCAATTTGTCAAAATAATAACTTTGATTGGCAAAAAAGTTGAGAACCTGCAATGAATAAATAAATAAAAAAAGGGCTCGAGTTGTAATACCACATCATCTCAATATAATATATATCAAACAATTTGAACAAAGCTGTACACATGCAAGCTGCAGCAATGGTCAGGAACCACAATCTTTTACCAATAAAATCAAGATAATTGAAAGATCAACATCATAAAGCGGAAAACATAATAGATATCAAGCCAGAAGTTTTGTTAAGGTAACAGATATACCACTAGCCACAGACTCTCAGATTCTGAAACTGAAAAATCTCTCAAAACATCTTTCGTCAGCTCAAAGATGGACTTCATATCATCCTTACTTGGAGAAGGAGAATCCTTCAAAATGCATTTTATCTCATTTGAGACTCTCAATACCCACAACTTCACTGAATTTGAAAGTTTTCCACTGCAAAGTCTTTCTGCGAGCTTCCGTGCTTCATCCAGTCTCCCAAGTTGCAAATAAAATGAAACATATTGACAACCTAAATCCTCAGTAATATGTCCTAAAGTTAGAGCCTTTTCATATACCACCAAGAGACGTGAAGTAATGTTCACAGTATAGCTAGATAATCCAGATGTGTGTTTTCCCTTAACAGGGGTAATAATGTTCATCAAAAACTCCACATACAAGCTAAACATTGTAGATGAAGGCAAACATTCGAGGGCTTCCTCATAGACCTGTTGATGACAAGCAAGGAGAAAGCAACTTCAGATAATCATAGAGATAAAGCAGGCAGATAAGTTATATGCATAACTTTCATTTAGTCATGACAAAGATCATAGGTCCTTTGTTTAAGCTAGTGCCTAATATATATATATATATATATATATATATATATATATATATATGCAATAAAGAAAGATATATGCATAAGATAACTGTGAAGATTTGACATGTTTGTGACTTCCATCATGCATAAAATTCACACCTGGACAGCCTTTTCGATCTGAGAGATCTCTTTTCCGTCACTCATTCCCTGTACATTTTCAGGATTACACTCAAGTCTAGCCAACCAGTCCCAATACTGTGGCTGAGTTCCGAAGTCTCTTTTTAAGTCCTGTAATATTTTTGAGTGCATTTCTTCTGAATGAGATAAATCCATTGCTTCCAATATCTCTAGGACACGCTTTCTCAGGCTAAAACTGGAAGGCAGAGCTTCAATTGCTCCATTGTAGATAGTTTCTAAAATGTTTGAACCCTGCTCTCGAAATAAATCCAGTTGATCCTTTGACTCCGTTTCAACAACTGATCCATCATTATTCTCTCTTTCTTCACCGATTGACATGAATAAATCTTTATTTTCCTCTCTCCATTGTTTCTCCTCAGCAGCTCTATTTTCACGGACTAGACTTCCCTTGTCCTCTCCAAGGGCAACCTTTCGGGCCTTCAACTTGTTAAGATAAGTAAGTTCCATCCGTAGATATTCTACCCAAAGATCCTCTGAAGTTGGGCAAACCCTCAAACCACTTAACATAAGAGAACGTGCAGCATCAACGTTCGTATTATGATCAAACTCCCAAGCAGCAGCATATATCCAAACCCCTGGAACCTTTGGATGAAACCTAATCAGCTGAGCCAGGACCTGCAAAGGATAAAAACGATTGACATTGGCCCAAACAACCTCAACTATCAACAGACTGATCTCAACTATCTTCATACCATCTCAATCATACAGAAAAATGCTCAGCGATCAAAATGTACATACATTTCTCCCAATCTTTCTCTGGATACAAACAGAAACTAAATTAAATCCAAAAGAGGAATATGATATGGTTACCTTCTTCATCCTCCCGTTCTGTTGTCCTCTACAAAACTCGAGATAGCGAAACCAAAGATCAATATCGCCCTTATACCTAGTAACCGCAAGGCGATAGATGTACAAGATCCTTTTGACACCGGCGAAGTCGGAAATAGACTTTCTCATCTTCTTATTTCCCTGCTTCTTAAGCTCGCGAGCCACCGCTTTCTTCCTGAGGTTGCGAAGTGAGTCCAGATGCGTCTCGTAATCGACATAGGCCAAGTAGTCCTGCTTGAGCGGACAAGGGCGCTTCAGACGGTACTCGAACTTACGCCGCTGCTTTACTATCTCGGCAATCTCTCGCCGGGAGAAGAGGCCGCGTTGCTCGAGGTCATCGAGCTCGTCGACCATGCCCTCGAGGCGGAACTGCACAACGTCCGCCATTGTCGGGTTCGGTAACTGGGAACTTGTAGGGAATAGAGCTAAATGCGAGTGCGGAAGACGGCTTTAGGGCTGCGAGGCAGGAAGGTCAGGCAAAAGAGTGGAACAAAAATAATATTTATAGATGTCATTAAAATAATATTTTTAAAAATAAAAAAAGAAGTAACAACGGAGTGGACCAAAAATAATATAACAGAAGTATGAATGATAAAACATTACTGCGTCCAAAGCGAACATAATTTAGTAATAATTGACATATATCTTCAATCATGAAGTTCTRAGTTCGATCCTCACCTCCACATATTGACATGGTGGATTAATGTAGTAAAAAAAAGTGGACCAAGAGCTCAGACTCCACCAAGCATAATTTAACATATCTCAAATACCCACAAATTTCAAAAATCATAAAGCTTAAACACTCGCAATATTTCAAAGACATCAACTCATAATAGTAAAAAAAAAATTCTATAAATTTCAGCAAAACAATAACTCCTAAAAATAATCCAAAAATCCCCAAATTTTAACCAAGACATAAAACTCTCTTGTAAAATAGTTCAGTAACCCTTAATTTTCAGCCAACATAAGCGTATAATAAAGTCTAAAATCCTCTTCAGCAAAACATCAACTCATAAGAGCAGTCCAAGAATAATCAATTTTAAGCGAAATTAAACCCATAAAACAGTCCAATAATATCCAAACTTCAAAAAAACACACACTCACAAAATATACTTCAAGAATCTTCAGACTTAATCTTATACAAACGGTTTTAAATAACCACGAATTTATAACACATATATCATACAAAACTCCCAAATACCCATAAACTTCAACCATCAAAATTTCACCTTTACGGAAATAATATGGTAAAGAAGAAGGAAGAGAAAGGGTTGACGGTGGTGGTTGATTTGTTTTAGAGAGAATGAGATGGAGAAGAAGAGGGAGTTAGGATTTTTTTCTTTTTTTTTTTTTTTTGGTTTCTGGAGAGAGATTGGGATCGTGGGTGAAGAAGGAAAGAGAATAAAATGGTAAAGTAAAAGAAAAAAACAACATATTTTTACACGAGAAATTTTGATTCATCCTCCACCTTTGAATTTATGAACAAATTTTGGGGATTTGAATTTAGGGTGTAATATATATTTCTTTTTATTACGAGTTGTCTTGGACAAAAATCGAGATTGATAAATCTTGATTTGTAACAAACTTCAATTCACTCGAAAATTTTAGATTTGACTTGTAATTTTGTGAATTGCAATAAAACTAAAGTGTTTTCTTTATATTTTAGAAGGTTTAGAAGGAAGAAAAAATTGAGGTTGTAAATTTTTTATCCGAGAAAAAAAAAGTGTTTTATTTTGTTAGTAGAGAGGTTAAAGAAAAAAAAAAAAAGAAACTATTTATTTGTGAGACAAGTTAAAGATTTTTTTTTTTTCTTTTTGCGAGAGATGTGAGAAGGGATGACCAAAAAGGTAATTTTAAGTGCAAGCTTTGACTGGAAAAGACCATAATAGTTTTTTTGGAAAATGACCCATACTTCTAAAATGAAAAATTTTAGGGTCAAAAAAATATATTTTTCTTAAAATTTTGTTATTTTATTTAAAACTTCAGCAATCGAACTAAAATTAGATGAAAATTGTATTTTCCATTTTTAGATAACATAGCTATTAAACTTGAGTTATGAGTAATAGTATTGTATATTTTTTGGAAATGAATACACAAATTTCGCTGCTTTAAATTTGAAGGAAACCATATAAAATAGTGGCATCCCCCAATCGTGTTCAGTAGCTCATTTTAGGCACTGTGCAGAGTAATAGTACTGTATATTAACATAATGAAAATGTGAAAGCTTAAAGAGCAAAAGAAAATTTTAACTAAAATATTTTTATATGTTTTAATTTTCAACTTTTACTCATAACTTTAGTAATACCATCCGTATATAATTTTTTTAAAAAATAATTCATCAATCAGGTAGATTATTTTTATGTTTCATTATATTTAAAATATTAGGTGACATTTTGAGAAATGATCAGCTTCTCAAAACGAAAATTATATATAATTGTAGAAATAACAATTTCCCTTCCCTTCAAGTAAGATAAAATGTAGAATGCATAAACGCAAAAATCGGAAACACATGCACTTCTATGGTAAAAGGATACAATATTTGTAATTAATTTTAGGTTTTAATTTATATTTTGTGCAGTAAATTTTAAGATTTATTTCATTTTTTCGTAGTAATTAAAATATCTATTATAATCCTTAATATTCCATAAAACACTTGTTTTTTTTTTGTAATTAAACTTTCATAATGTTTATTTTAATTCCTTGAACTAAAAAAAAAGACATTTTAGTCGTGTCGTTATATTATTTTGCAGCCAACAATTTTCATTTATAATATTCGCTTCCAACATATGTGTTTTTAATACATATTCATGTTAACATAAAAAGCATAAAGATGGAAATGGTTATTTTTTAAAAATTTAAGAACTAAAATAGTTATTAAAGACCAAAATAGAACAAATTTGAAAGTTCATATTCAAAAACAAAATAACCTCGAAAATTTAGGGACCGAAATAGAATTTAAACCTTATTTTTAATATAAATAATAGGAAGCCTCAATGGAGGAACATAAATGATTTTTCGATTTGAGAGATCAAGAATTCTCACTATGTATTAGATTGATGCAATTCAATTTAGTGGATATTTCAACATTTTCTTCTATCAAGAACGTTTTATCACTCTTGGCTCTCGAATTTGGACTATCCTACTCTCACCCAATTCACAAGTTTCATCAAGTAAACTATATTTGGGTAATTTATAGTAGTAATTTTATATATATCTATCGAAAGAAAAAATCTCTATTGGACAGACTTCTTTACGTGACTATGAATTTCTTTATTACACCTAAAAGTGATACGTTGAAAGAATGTTTTAGTTCTTCCAATATCAATGGACTGATTCTTCGCTCATTTCAAAAAGAAAAGAAAAAGATCTTGAAGAGCTATTTTCGAAATAGAAAAGAGAGTACTTAAAAGAACTAGAAAAATAAGTTTATACTCGCTCACAATTTTGTAACATTACACAAAATCAATATAAATGGATATTTTTGGGAAAAGACGTGGAAAGTATGGAATAGTAATTTCCTCCTCAAAAAAGAGAGAGAGAGAGAGAAAAAAAAAAGAGGAAAATCTTTCCATACATTCCCAAATCTCCACTTTTAAGAGAGCCAACAAGGGTGGCCGACTAAAAAGCATTGGTGTCGCGTGACACATGCATCCAAAATTCACATATGCCAATGTCCATAAAATGATATGAAAAATAAACTTGGCTCGTACGAGGCGTTGCTTGCTTCTCACTTTTTATACTATTCCACTGATATAGCAAAAAAACAACAGATCTACCCAAGTTTTATTCCAGAATGATTTCATGAGAGAAAAGAATATAAAACGAAGTCGGGAGGGAGCTAATCCGAGCATAACTTAGTAGATAATATAAAGCAGCTATTAGGAAGAAGAACTCATTAATGACTATATATTGTATTCCTTATCAAGTGTTAAGAACCTGCGACCATTTTATTTGAATTGAAGTGTTGAACTTCAAGCAAGACTAAGCTCAAGAGAAACCTCATTGACATCAGAACTCCCAGCCTTACTCAGTATCAACGGCTGGAAAGACCGTAGGCTCAGACACAGAGACATTGTTGTTTCACCACCAACCCTCTCTACAGTGTTATGATCCGACTTTTTCAACCCTTGATTATTGCTCTTGAAACTCCCAAAACAATCTTGCTCCTGAAAAAGAGGCATAAAATAATTGAACATCTCCGTTTGTGTACCAAGATTCTTGAATATCTCACAAGTGTGTGTGTGTGTGTGTGTGTGAGAGAGAGAGAGAGAGAGAGAGAGAGAGAGAGTACTTGAACAGTGCACCGTTTGATTATGTCATTGAAGATGAGGTAAGAATTTGGTTTCTTCTCTTTATAACGGGGTCTTTGTTCATTCCACATCTCTTGATTCTCTTTCCTGGAAAGGAAAACTTTCTCTATAAAATCAACGTAATGACCAAAAAAAGCATATCCCCGTTTCCCCCCTTATTGTAAAGTTCTAAATACTGTTCATCATGAATATGCATGAGATGATAAAGAAAAAATACTTTTGGACATATAGTTTGTTTAAATACACGCTGTTTCTTGGAAGCTTCCCTTAGACCTTCGGGTCATTATTTTTCAAACTTCTAGTAGTAATAATAAGAATAGGGAGAGAATAAACGAACCGGCCGAGTTCATGATCATCGGTGAAGCGACATCCAACGAGCTGGTCTGAAAGTTGATATCCCGGAGCCTGATCATTGTTGAGGTTATTTGCTGCCACAGGGAGCAAGGACAATGACATTTAGGATCAAGCTATATAAGTGGCCAGTTTAGGACTTAAACAAATAAGAAACAGGAATGTAATGTAAAACCTTGTGGTGTTACTTGCTCCTGCTTTGTGCTCCTGTACATCTGTCCATGGCAAACCTAAGCATTATTAAAACTAATTAAGAACGTTCATAAGCTGCCAACAAAGAGGAGGAAGAAAAGAAAAGGGTAAAAATGAATCAGAAAAAGCAACCAAGTCTGCACCTGTAGATGGCTTTTCACGTGAGATATGGTGAGACCATTCACATTCATTATCTGTAATACCATCTTTGGTGTAGCTCCTTCAAGTAAACACCAAAATAAAATGATTCATGTGAATATCATCAGAACAGGGTAAAAAAGAAAACAGAACTTGATAGATGCAATTATGGTATGGTATTATAGCTTAATTAGTTAGCTTACTGTCTTCTCCACCTAGGCGTTCAACTGCATGAACAAAGCAGCGATGAAGATCAGGAGTCCATCTTAATCTGGGAATTTTGGACCGGACGTAAGGTCTAACCATGGGGGATTTGAAGTTATTGATGTCATGGAAACTGCTCAATACTCTGCGCCTAGAAAACCTCATGTTGCTGATGCTGCGTCTTTAGGGGGAACGTGGATAAAGACCCTTAAAAAGAGAACCCCACTTCAGTTCAAACTCTTCTTAGAGAGAGAAGGGTACAGTACTCAGTAGAGGATAATAAATAGTTATGTGAGATTCTGTTGCATTCATTTGGCCTTTTCTGCTGCTTTCCCCAACTCAAAAGCCAGAAGGGACGGTTTAGTCTCTTTGGTGTTTGATTGGTAAAAGGAAAGTTTTGAGGGAGGGGCAGAATTTCTGGCCTGCTTCTTTTTTCAAATGTGTCTATGATTGGGTGGAAAATGAATAGGTGAAAAAAAACTGAAAAAGCTGTCTCAAAGTTATCTTTGGGGATATAATAATTTCTTCATTTTGGACATTCTTTTGGTCTCTATTCAGACATTCCTTTGGCTTCAAAATTACAAAAAAAGAAAGAAAAGCAGTGGGTGTAATGTAAGTGTAACTAACCCACATCTCCCCCAATCATATGCTGTATGTCATATCCCCAACACCGTTCCAGCTAATTCCATGGTATAATCAGACTCAGAATTCTAGGGGTTTTCTTTTTTACTTTCCTCTGTACATGGGTGGTGTTTATGCAAAATGATGATACTTAAACATTAAGCAACAGCAGAGGAATCCAAAAAGGGCATCCATGGGGTGGAGTTCAGAAAAAATGGATATATGACGAAAGCAGTGGATGTCCTTAAGGAAACATACCAAAATCCTCTGTTGAATGGGAACCTCATCATTCTGGTTGCGACTTTTCTTCGAACGCCTTATACCCAATGAGCCTTGAAAAAGAAAAAAGAAAAACCTCAACGGAACCGTGTGTTCGCCACGCAGACCCATGCTTGGAAATTAGCATGTCAGAATTTCCTCGCGCAGGAACACGTCGCAGCGGCCATGGATTGGCGAGACTTCCATTGGAATTACGTAACGTAAGCATAATTAGAATATTTTATGGGAAGGCAATTTCTAATTTTCTATGGATGGAAACAAATTGGGGGGAAATGAGCGCGTCCTCTATGGCAGGGGGCGGTTTCGAATTGGAGAGAATATTCTCTGAAAATGGGCATTGGCAGAGGCAAGAAACAGGTGTGATGTGGAATCCTAAGCGAAGGAATTATGGTGGAGTTGGAATTCATGCACCCAGTTTTGTTTGAATGTAGGAAACCTTTCAAAAGCTGATCCGCATCCATTCAATTCTCTGGGACGATCATTCCTGAAAATCTGAATATAGTAAAACAAAGTAGCCAGATGGCGAGTTCTGTATTCAAAGAACAAAGATGGGCAATTTCTGCACAAATCAGAGAAGCGAGACTTTAGTCCACTTCAAAAGATTCAGTTTTGATATCTATCTACATTCATTGGGTAAAAATAGAATATGGGTTGAAGAAAATTGAAGTGAGAGCATCCTTCTCAGTAAGTATAGTAACCAAATTGATATTGACGATTAAAAAAACTATGAAGATATCGACTTTGCCCAAGTTTTCAGCCAACAGGATCACTCTTGATTGGATTGAATGATCAACCTATATATTCAAATGGGTCCAAAATCATCTAGAGATGGCCTGGCCATTATGTTGACTTCCTAAACATCTAACGATCTCAACTAAATATGGATTAATTAATCTTTATCTTATCGAACCCGAGATGTCGACAAAACGTATGACCCAGAAAATACCCGTTTTAATAAGGTAGAGTTCTTGCTAGAGCTTTTTCCAAGGCTTAATCTGTTATAAGCTGTAGTTCATAATTAATGGTGATATAAACAATAAATGTCCAATCCAAATCCTCTGATGCTCTTAGTAACCAACGACCAGCTATGATCTTGCACATCATTTGCATAAGCTAATCATAACCTCCAATTATATACGAAAGAAAATCAGAAAAATGGGAAGGAAACAAGAGGCTCTACAATGGGGAAGAAGAAACTGAGGCTGCAAACTCAAGACTCCAATGTCAGTTTTTCAGCCTCATGGCTCTTATTTCCTTGTGATCATATTCTCTGTAATCCATGTGAGTTATGATTTTTTGCAGGTTATATTGGACAATGGATTGTTGAAAGTGACAATATCAAACCCCCAAGGATATGTAAGTGGTATCAAGTATGGAGGCATGGACAATTTGTTAGATGTAAAATCAAGCGAATCTAAGAGAGGGTAATTTCCTGACATTTTGACGATTCTGAGGTTGTCTTGGTTTTGGGCACCTGTCCTTTTTGCTTATATGTAACCGAAATGATGAAACTGTAGACTGAACCGGATTCCATGTATCTACTTTTGACTTGTTTCTTTCCTGTGTGCAGATACTGGGATATCAATTGGAGTTGGCCTGGAGGCAAGGACAGATACCAACTGTATATGTCTGCTCTCTCAAGACTGATAGATTAAGTTAAATTTTGAAACTTTAAGCAGTTTACCAGTCATCAAACCAAAGGAAGATAGGAAAAGTTCGACTATGGAGTTTTCGCTCGATTAAAAGGATATAACAAGTCCCGAATACATGATTTTCTTCTGAGGGCAGCTGCAAATATTCACTAACTCTTGATCCATTTAAACTTTCAGGCTTAAAGGATCTGAATTTAATGTAATCAACACAAGTGATGACATCATCGAGCTATCGTTCAAGAAAGTTTTTAACCAGTCGAGTCAAGGCAACAAACTTCCCCTTGGAGTAGACATAAGGTTGTATGTTCATTCAGAACTCCCTGTTACCTTGAAATTAATCTCCAAATTCTGGTGAGTTTCATTCAGGCTTCTAATTTGTCCTCTAGGTATGTAATGAGGACTGGTATTCCAGGCTTCTATTGCTACGCGATCTATGAGCACCCTTCGGAATGCCGGGCGTTCGATCTTGCTCAGACAAGGATGGTGTTTAAATTGCGAAAAGAGAAGTAAAATATCCTGCCTCTCCATGGCAAGCTGGAGTACAATTTGCTGTTCTTTTTTTCTTCTTCTGTTTCTTGTACTGTCTGTCTCACCATTTAGAGTCAAATTAGGTTCCACTACATGGCAATTTCAGATGAGAAGCAAAGAATAATGCCAATGCCAGAGGATTTGCATCGAGGCAGAGGTGAACAACTAATTGTACCTGAGTCAGTCTTGCTTGTAAATCCTATTAATCCTGATCTGAAAGGAGAGGTGAGAATGTAAGCCTAGGTTTATTTGCTTTACCTGCACACGAGAAACAATTTCCTTGAACAAAAGGACCAAATGCAGGTAGATGATAAGTACCAATACTCAGTGGATAACAAAGATGGAGGAGTTCATGGATGGATAAGTTCAAGCCCAAACAACATAGGTTTTTGGGTAGTTTTCCCGAGCCATGAGTTTCGAAATGGTGGCCCTACTAAGCAAAATCTAACCGTCCACACCGGTCCTACCTGCCTGGCTGTAAATTCTTTACCTTTACTCCACAGTGTAAATCCCAAAGTTTGTTCACAAATGTTTGATCTGATGCAACAGATGTTTCATGGAACCCATTACATTGGAGAAGACATACTCACACAAATTAAGGAGGGAGAGACATGGAGAAAGGTGTTTGGTCCTTTTCTTGTATACCTTAACTCCACCCCAGATGTATCAGAAGCACACAATTTATGGATAGATGCAAAAGAACAGGTATTTATTTGTTATAAATCCAACTTACTCCCAATCTATACCTGCATTGCTCAACATTTTGCAGTAAATTGATCCACTGTCTCATAACATAGAACTTAAATATCATCAAGCTACTAAATCATACATTCCTTCGAGTTCTGTACTAATTTTCTAGTGAAAACCTGAAGATGTATGATTTTTCAGGAGTACAATATGAAGTTATGATTTTGCTTTGCTGTTTAATCATGTTTCTGCTAATATGCATCGAGAGTCTAAGTTGCAGATACGCGAGCTTAATCTTGCACACGATTTTAATGTAGAGAATGCTAGAGGAGGAGGCATGGCCCTATGATTTTGTCTCTTCTTCCTTTTATTTCATAGCAAATGAACGTGGTTCCATTTCAGGAAGACTATTAGTCCAAGACAGGTCATGTTGGTTCCCACTTCGAAAGAGCAGTAATTTTCCTTTCCGTGCCTTGTAAAATAAGGTAGAATCTCTTTCTTTTTCTCCAGGTATGTTTCAAGTTCCTCAATCCCTGCTAGAGATGCACATATTGGTTTATCCGCTGCTAGGGAAGAAGGTGCCTGGCAAACAGAGAGCAAGGTGAAAGCTGTTCCTTACCCCTCCTGCGAAAGAACCCTTTTTCACTTTTTACTTTTATCAGTTTCAATGCACAGAATTCAATAACTTTTACTTCATAACCTCTTAAAATGAATTTTATTTGTGTGAACCCAGGAATATCAATTTTGGGTACAAACAGATTCCAATGGAGATTTCACCATCAGAAACATTATTCCTGGAGTCTATGGGCTTCATGGTTGGGTACCAGGATTCATTGGGGATTATCTTCACAAATCACTAGTAACAGTATCTGCAGGTCCTTTGCTCTTTTCCACTGAAGTTTTTCTGCTTCCTATGTCAAATTAGAACGGGGTACGGTGTCTCCGATGTTGTAGAATAATGCTACTGCTTCAACTAGTTCTGATAGTTGATATTCAACAGGATCTCATACACATCTAGGCATTCTGACCTACAGTCCCCTCAGAGATGGTCCTACTTTGTGGGAGATCGGCTTTCCCAACCGTACAGCCAATAGCTTCTATGTTCCTGATGTGAATCCAATGTATGCCAACAAGTTATTTCTTCACAGCCATGAAAAGTAAGCAACAGATCCCTTCTTTTAGGTGACAATAAGCTACTAGGGAAATTGTAGGCAATAATGCAATATATCCTGTATCTGATCATGTACCAAATGCAGGTTCAGGCAATATGGTTTATGGGAGAGATACAGTGATTTACATCCAAAAGACGACCAAGTTTTCACTGTGGGTATCAACGATCCGAAGAAAGACTGGTTCTTTGCTCAAGTTTGCAGGTATTGTACTTTAACCCATCACATATTGGCAATTTAAAAGGCTTTCCTTCTTGTTAAAATGCGAGTTCTACTGAATGGTGAGTACTACTGAACTTGTGTAGAAGAAGGGAAGATGGTGAGTATGTTGCGACGACATGGACAATCAAGTTCAACATAACATCATTAACTGATGGAACTTACCGGCTGAGATTAGCCATTGCATCTGCAACACGCTCAGACTTGAAGGTACAGACAGGAAAATATTGAAGAACTTAACTCCACACAAAAGGCTCTTGTTTGTAGTAAAACCGTGGTATTTTATGACTGCAGATTAATGTCAACTCAATGGGGTCAGAGTCTCTGGTTTTCCAGCTGATGAATCTGGGAATGGATAACACAGTTTGTCGACATGGAAATCATGGGCTGTATCGGCTTTATAGCATCAACGTTCCATCTTCAATGCTTGTAAAGGGAGACAACTCCATGTTTCTCACGCAGGCAAGGAATGGAGATTCACTCTGTGGGATTTTATACGATTACTTAAGACTGGAAGCTCCTGATACTCCATGAAGATCTGATTAATCCAAAGGCACTACATTTGTAATTGATATTTGCTTCTGTGCTGCCCAAATGTATTTGTAAAATTGCCGAGGGGAACTCAAACATTCCACTTAATCAAAGCCGAATTTCATAACAAACAACGTACTCTTTATCCATAGTTTGATTTGATTACAACAATCAATCATAGACGGATATTTACTGAGCTAACACATAGAAAGACGACTTAACACAAACCCCAAAATCTACATGGGACAACGATACTCTTTGATTATGCGAATATTTTAGACTGCAACTTGTGTCAACTGTATAATTGACTCAACCTGGACCACGAGCTCATTTGGGCTGTGTATAGATTAATTGCAGAAACATTCTGGTTCAATCATCGGAAAGCATTTACAAAGGCCGTAAGCGACTCAACATCTCTCTTCTCGGAGGGGTACTTGATCGGCCGAGAGGAATGTTTAGGGAAGAATAGTATGGTGGGGAAGCTACCGAGCTGCAATTCTCGCTGTGCAAACTCTTTTTCATCGCCATCAGCTCTAAACTTCCCAACCTTAACTCCTGTCCCGTCTAGCTTCTCAGCTAATTCAACATAGGATGCCTCCATTGCCTGCTCAATTTGAGAAGATGGAAATTGTAAATAAACAATCTCAAAATCAAGATTGGGAATATAATCGTGAACTAACAAGGGAAAGTGGCAATGAAATTAAAACATTGGTATGTTACCTGACAGAAGCGGCACCATGGTGCGTACAGAACAACAAGCCATGGTTCTTTCCTACCCTCCAATCTAGCCAAATTCTCTATTCCAGCTCTAGTCAAGCTCACCAAATTCTGAGACTCAAAAATGTCCTCATTTGTGGCAGCTCCATTTGTGTTGCCATTAAGCTCGGCTGCGTCTTCCTGCTTAAGATTTCCTTTGTGAAGACCACATTCCTTAGCCTTCGCATCCTCCCACCACCATCTTCCTTCCCTCTCGTGTTGCCATGGCAAGACGGGTCTTGTGCATGGTTCACAGCCAATTGAGACATATCCTTGCGAGTGCAATGTGTTAACAGGCACATTCATGGATCGTAAAAAGTTCCATATGTCTTTACTGTCAACATTAGCTACTGGATTCCATTTAACCAGGCTACCAACGCCACCATCCAGCCCTTCAAAAACAGGGTCCACCTGAACTACAGGAACTTCAGACCTGGTACCAGGGGATTGATCTTTCCTTTGACCAGTGATCCATGCTCGTAGCCCCTTCAAGGCCCTCCTCAGAGGCCTCACCTTCCGCACACGGCAGCATTCCTGGTGCCCATCCTCGTAAAAAGAAAACATCCCTTTGGTTCGGACTAATGCTTGAACTTCAACAGCATCGGGGAACATGTACTCAATATGGATACCGTAATGCTTTTCCACTTCATCAAAAAATTTGTATGTTTCTGGATTCAATCTTCCAGTATCCAAGCTAAAAACTCTAAATGGTCGACCAGTTAGATGGGCATACTCGATCAAAGCAACATCTTCAGCACCACTGCAGGAAAGGAAATGAAGAACTTAACTTTCAAATTCTAAAAACGTATACATGACGAACAGAATGATATGGAGGTGATATCTAGAATAGTTTTGATAATGGAATAATAAAGTAATTTACGTCTTAGGAAAAGAAAACACGTCGAGTCTTACTGTTCTTGGCTTGAGGTGTCTACGGCGAAGATTATTTTCTTCTAACGTATAAATAAAGAAAAAGAAAAAGGTGAAAAATGGTCGTTGACACCATCGACCAACGAAAATTTTATGCTTCAAGGCATTTTATCGAAAAGTTATACTTCCGACAAAATCCTCCATATAAAAGAAAAATATATTCCTCCTAAAAGAGCCGCACTGGATTCAAAATAGTTGACCAAACCAATTTTGAAGTACAGTGTTTTAAAATAATAAGAACTATTAGTACACATCCCGTCATTAACATTACCAAATTGATTGCTTCAGATGAGATGGGTTACCTGAACGCAATTGCAATATCATTGCCAAATTTCTCTAAGGCTTTGTCCATAATTTCAAGGGGGGAAGCATTTTCAAGGTCTTTAGCTAATGACTCGTAGTCCTCAACCTCCGCTTGCTCAACCACCCCTGCAATGAAGGTACAAGAACATCAATGTCACCACCAAAACCGTACTCCTTCTCGGAAGCACTCGTAAAACCATCAAGAATACCTAATATCAACATTAACGAAAATGAAGTCGGGAGAATGATGAATACCCACCGGGGGCAACGGAGGTTGCTGCCAGAGGAGCAACGGAATCGCTCCGTTTTGGTTCGGCATGTAGAGGCTCTACAGAGCATCGTCTCTGGGAATAATAATTCACAGACGACGCTGGTACATTAGGCCGACTCGACAACCTAAGATAACCGATTTGCGGAGCTGCAGATTCAAACAAACACATCAGACTTGTGCAAAAGAAGAGATCAATTACAAATCGATTCCGTTAAGAGCGACATCCAGAGGACTCGAGAAAAATAAAGTTCAGCAATAATTACAACATGGCGACGTAAACTAGGCCTTCCTATCACTAACGGAACCAATTGAAACCATTCAAACGAAAAGCCCCAGACTCCAGGAAAGATTAATTGCTTTCAATATCAAGAAGAAGAAAAAAACAATTCCAAAATTGAACAAAAAGCCATTGCTTGAGAAATGATGGCTTCCGAAAGAAGAATTAACGAATGTAAATAAACATAGATAAGAAATGGTATCTCATCGTTAACACGCTACCACCAAAACCAATCAGAACTAAACCATAGAAGCAAATATACAGGGGGAAGATAAACGGAATTCAATGCACCTTTAGGGTCAGAGGCGGCAATCGAACGGGAGAAACTGGAACCGGTAATTGCAGAACTTGAAGAAGAAGAAGCAGCGGCAACAGCAAGCGCCATTGTATTGTAGAATCGGTGTGGCTCTAAGAGCTTCTTCGGCTCTTTGTTATCAAATTTGTGTTTCTCTTTGCCTTTCAGACCGCATTGATACTGGAACGAAAGGAAACGATAAATATCAATGGTCCAGAGAGGAAGACGATTCTGGTTCACTGAACCTGGACGCTATTTCGTATAGAGCCGCCTCGCGCCTTTCTGCTTACGTGGTTGAAGGTTATTGGTCAGGATTCAAGTAGCGCAAACGCGCGGCGCTCAGCGCTTCCGTCACGTACTTCAACCCGGAGCCCATGGTCAAGCCTCCGATTTTGAGTAATTTTTTACATCATAGTAACGTACAATACTATTTGTTTTTAATTTAATATTTTAGCATAACTTTTTCATATTTAGTTAGTAGTGGTATTTATCAAAATATTAAAAATTTATAGTGACAATTAATGATTAATAGAAGGATGTGAAAATAAAATAGGAAATGTTTTGGCCATTCAGATTCAAGGTTTTTCTTTAAAACAGTTTTTTTTTTATGCCAGAGATCGAAATAGTGAATGTCCAAGTCAATAATGAAGTCCAATAATGAGTAAGGTATCCGAAAAGGAATTTGAACATACGCAATATCTTCTACCATTTTATAGGTGGTCGCAGGCAAACGAATTTGGTAAGAAGGACAGAGATTCTGACCTTCCATATCGAGGTGGGATAGACTGATTGATTGCGCTCGATCAATCCTGTCTTCGTCGCGTGCTGATAGCGAAATACTAAGGGTGGAAACAACCTGGCGAGGTTGGGCTAATTTACTTTTCCTCTACAAACTTGGTATTCTTCCTCGTAACATGTATAATCTTCATTCTTAAAGTGAGTTTACTTTCAAGCCTAGTAGTTACAAGCTATAATAAATAAACAGTTGTAGCAGTTTTTGGCCTTAAAAGTTATATAATAGTGAAACTAATAATTACACAAAATTTATAATTGCATGTGTTCATAGAAGGGTACAGATTATTTCTTTTGAAAATTTGGACTTCAACTCTAAGATTCTGTACCAAAAAGATAAATAAATAGAAATGATCTGGCGATCAATTTCCTTTCCTCGTATCTTCTTTTTTCTTGTATAATTTAAATTTTGTTTGGCCATTATGATATATATGTTTTTTTAATGCAGAAAGTATAAAGATTCGTCAAAATTTTAATATAAATTTAATCTCTGGTCTCAATTTTTTAATGTTTAGGTGAATCGTTGTTAGATCATGATCTGAACTATTTGACAAGTAATCAATATTTTTTTAAATACAAATCGATATTTAATTATTCTTGTAAGGGCTTGATTCTTTCTATCAATTATTGATGGCAAAGCGTACAAATTGTTATAATTAAATTGTTTGTAGCCCGTTTAATCGTAAAATCCTTTTTCTTTAATGAGATTTTATGTTGAGAGGCCAAATTTGCCTTACCAAATGGAATACAGAAGCCCCAGCTCCGTTGAAAATAGGTCGGATTAATTAGAATAATTATAAAAAAAAATTATTGTACTTCTAAATGTTTATTAATGTTAAATATAATTTTATTATATATATATATATATATATATTTTGCAGAATACATTTAGGTTTGAATTTAATTACTAAAATTTAGTATGGAGTATTTTTATGTATATTTAGGTTTTTTTTTTGTCAAAGCGAGCATAACGATAATTGGCATATACTTCCAACCACGACGTTGTGAATTCGAATCTCCTCCCCAACATGTTGTACTATAATATATATATATATATATATGTAATATTTTATATCCTGAATTTTTAATTTTAATTTTCAAAATAATTGTTTTGAAATGGTTGTTTTCCATCATCAATGTGCGACTAGGCAGAGCTATTCCACCACAACCTCACTGATGTATTAATTTTGGTTTTTTGTCCCAAAATAATATTCTTTTTTCACAAAAATAACAACATAAGAATATAAGGTTGTGGTTGGCTTACAAATATAATGTGGTTTAAAAGTCTTTAAGCCATTGTGAGGCCATGAATTTTTGTTAAATATTTGTGGTCTTTTCCATTCTATAAACCCCTATCACATGTCATCGCTATCACCTTTTGTTTCTTTATTTATTTATAGAGGGCCAAAAGGGGGTAAATAAGCTAAGAAAGTTTAAAATATTTCATCATCCATCTTGAATTTTGTTTTTTTAAGTGGTATTTTTATTTATTTTAATTTTTTGAAACTAATTATTGAGTTCTAAAGCTAAATTTCAAAAATGAAAAATAATTTTTTTTACTATATTACAAAATTATGAAAGTGAGAGAGAACATAAAATAAAAACAAAAAATAGAGCCGTCATTAAACAAAATTTATACCAACTTATTCGTCAATATTATACCTTTTTCTATTTTTACCAAGAAAATAAATTTATTAAGAATCAACAACAACTCGAATTACAATTTGCGTGGGTCAATTTTATGTCATTTTGAAGTGTAAATATTCGGTTTTTCAGAATCTCGCTTTTATAGGTGCATTGAAGAATTATTATTATTATTATTATTAAAAGGGGGTTTATCTTTTATTTACATGTTGACTTAAAAAAGAATGAAAGAAAAGAATCAAAAGAAAAAAAAAAGAAATGAATTAAAATATGTAATGGCTGGGAATTGGGAATCTCGCTTCTGAGAAGCATGGCCCTTGAAGAAATTAAGAGGCAAAGCCACCTTCTTCTTCTTCTTTTTGTTTTGTTTGTTTCTGTGTTTTTTCATCTTTTAGTCTAATTCGCACTCAAATCATTGGTTCCAATCTGTGGGAGGGAAAATAGAAAAGAAAATAAATAGCACAATATGAGATTTTAATAAATACATAAAGGCATCACAAACCAATTGACATAACTCAATTAATTAAGATATATATATTTAAGATCAAAAAGTAGCGAGTTAGAATTCTGTTGTTACTTGAGAAAAATGAACAAACACATCAATATAATGGTTTTGTTAGACCCACCATCATCTTTTATTAATTATATTAATAATTAAGAATGATTTTTTTAAAAATAGAGCTATGAATGGATTAGTTGCATACCTGATTTTATTTAATTTACAATCAAATAAATAGATAATATTATAAAAATATTTACATTATTCCAATTAATATTTGATATATTAGAAGCCAACTTGAACTTATGTCAATTGGTTAAGACAAAAAAGTTATGGGTTCGAATCTATCTTAATTAGTTGAGTTATACTCTAAACATATTTGAATTGAATTATGATTAACATTGGTTGATTTCCTAATATACAATAAATTCAAGTTACATTAAACTTAAAAAGCACCGTTATTCCAATTGTATAGTCAGAAATAGATAAAAGATAAATTTGGTATGTGCTTAAAGTGTATTCAACTTAGTTTCGAAAAAAGACCAATATTGAACCGACCTATCAACTCAAGAAAAATAAAAAAACCATGCAACATGGTTTTAAAGTGCAGCACTGCGATTTATTTTCTATTTATTTTTTTAATATATATATATAAATGTGAACAATAATTTAAACATTTGACACTAATTAAATTATGTTTAATTCATCGGCTAACTTGAACATAACTCTCGTAGTTAATAGTTTTAAGACATTCCTCTCTCTTTTACATAATTATAAGGTTCAAATCTCTATCTTTATATTCATGATATAATATTCTGAAGACAAATAAAAATAATGGTAAAATTGTTTTAAACAAAGGATTATGCTGAAATTGTAGTTTTATAACAAGATGAAAGGGCTGTTTGTTCAAATAGTGGTGAAATGCATCGGAGTGTAAAATGGGCCAGCCCATTGCTTAGTGGGCTCGTCTCAACTCAGCCTATTAAAGTGGGCCTCATGGGCTCTGTAGAGTTCTATAGCCCAAACACCAGTATTGGGATCAAAGACCTTTTTGTGTACCTAAAGAAACTGTAATTACGTAGAAGTCCTTTATTTAAACGCCCCGATCTCAAAGGGCAATTCTGTACTATGACCATGAATCCGGCCAGGCGCAAAGCGCGCACCACGGAGTACGGACGCTGACACGCTGTCGCTGTCGGTAACACGGGTTGCCACAAGAAATTATTTATCGACACAATTTAGCTAGAAATTTAATATGAATGCATTTTTAAAAAAATTATTTAAACATACACTTAATCTATAAATCTAATACTTCTACGGTGGGGAAGAAATAGATAGAATTAACATGATAAAATAGTTAAATGTTAAAATAAATAATTTAAATTTATTAGAAGCAAAATAAATATTTAAAAGGGTTTTCAATTTTTGAGATTTAAATTAAATTATGTAAGATACCTCTTTCACTATCAAGAGGGGGGCGAGACGATATTGATAGAAGCTTCTTTTTCATTCTTGGAAAATGAAACAAAGAAGATTGCGTTCAATATTGCRTTTGACCTGATAGTTTATGGAGCTATCATCTTTCCTAAGCTGCGTTAACAGCCRGGAGGAAAAAGATTTTGGCTTTTTTTCCAAGTTATCAGGATCAAAGTGCTGCGCATGGCTGATGACCTGATCCAAAAAYTGGTCCAGGTTGCGGAAATCGAAATCCGAGCGAGACAATCCCCGGCGGAAGATTTCGRCCTGGACCAGTTCTTCAAGGACCCACGATATGTAGCTCCTTTACGTGACAAAAACCATTTTACTTTTTTCATTAGTTAGAAAAGTACAGTTCAATATTTTTTATTTAAACTATATTTTATATTTTATAGAATATTTATTGTTTAAACTATCGATTTCCATTGTTTATTAGGATAAAAATAAACTAGTTAGGTGTTGTTTACCATTATTTTACACTCAGAAATCGTGTTTTTAGCTTTCTTTAGTGTCCAGAATTGAGTTATCCTGCATTTTTATGGTTATTCCTCTTATTTTTCATGCTCTCCGTAAGAAATTAATCTTTAATCCATTTTCTTTCACCAAATTGAAGTTCATTTCGACCAGTATTTTAGATACATTTTGTTTTGGTTTGAAAATAACTATTGTCTATATATCATTGAAGTAGTGATTTAGTCTCTAAACTGTATATAATGGTTCAAATTCATATAATTTAACACTCAATCATAGAAAAAAATCGAGCATAGACACGAACTAAATGAGCCTTTCATCTTCATCTCTGTGTTCTGAAGTTTCATAGATAACAACTTAGAAAGAATTACCCGCTGAATATTGTGAAAAATGAAATCATAACAAATTTTCAAAGAAAATTTCATTTTCATTTGTGTCCAAAGACAAGGCCACCAGTAAGGTAATGTATAATGAAAAGAAAAAGAAAACTGTGTGAATTGGAGAACAACAATAACACGAAGAAACCTCCTAAATTCCTGCAAGAAAACGTCCTTCTGTAAGTCCTTATTTATAGTTTAAAATTCTGTGTTCATAGGTGGGAGCAAATGGATTTCTTAGTTCTTGAAAAGCACAATAAATTCTCAATATTCTGCTAATCTTGTTAACAAAAATCTGACATGTTATTAAATTATAGTTTTATTGAGATACTTAGACATGTCATCCTTGGATTTTGTTGATGGACCAATCATGTTTATTAATAGGCAAGATTTTATATTTTAAAAGTAAAAAGAATCGATCCAAATAGTTGTATACAAAATTATGTAAAAATCTTTTTTTTTAGGGCAATTATATGTAAAATGACGATGAATCCAACCAGACACAAAACACACTATTCACTATCGATTACATGTGAGGACTTGAGTGGGTCAAGTTCAACATTTTAATCAAAGATATATACTTTAATTAATTAAGTTATGTTTAAATTGATCGATATCTCTCATTGTTATCTTAATAGATAATGTAAGATATTATTCGATATAGTTTATACAATATATGTCGCTTAAATGTATGAACAAATAACAAATACATTGATATAACAGTATTAGCAGGAAAAAAGTTAAACAGGTTATGATCATGTTTGAATCTGTATGTCAAATTGTATCTTTTGAGGCAAATAACGGTATTGTTTTTCTTTTCTTTTTGAGACAAAGAAGTAATGGTACTATTCGCACGAGTGAGTGTTCCTTTTTATTTATTTTATTATATTGCAATTAAAGTGTCTTGTTCTTCACGTGAAGCAATAAGGGGTAAGAAATTATTTTAAATATTTTGATTTAAAATTCTATAGATGACTTTTTTTTGAAATTAGAGACTTTTAAATTTCTTACTTTAATTTATTAATAATAGGACAAAAGATTAGGTTAGTAATTTACTTTAAAATGTTGTAAAATCTTTTTAAATTGAATATTTTTTTAACAACCTTAGGAAAAAAATAGATTAGATAGTAAATTTCTTTTTCAATTTTGTACCCCTCATAGGTAATAAGAGTATTATTTGTATAAACGAATCTTATTTTTCTCACTATATTGTAGTAGTTAAAGTGCTCTGGATAAAAATGTGTAAAAAATTATTTTAAATAATGAGCTTTGATATTCTATAATTTTTCTTTCTTGAAATAACAACAACATTCAAGTTTCAAATCCCAACTTTAATTTATTAATAAAAAAATTAAAATATGAAAAAATTAGGGTAGTAATTTACTTAAAATTTTGTGAAAATCTTATTAAGTCTGACCATTTAAGTCTCAATTATTAAAAAATAAAAACATAACCTAGAAAATTGAAATCATGCCTACTATTACATTTTTTTTTACCATATTGATTCATTCTGTATTAAAAAAATATATATTAAAAAAAAGATTTAAAATCTCTTTCGAATCTTGGTACCAAGCACGTTTTTATTTTCACCACTTTTGCAGGCACCCACTCATAATTTCAACTTTATTCCCACAATCTTATGTTATTTATGACCCCACGCTGACAATTATTTTTGATTTGATGGGTTTGGTAATAATTTTGTTTTTTTCCTCTTAAAAAACATAAAAAACTGTTGGTTTTTTTTAAGTAATTCTAAATTTAATGCTATCATTGTACAGAGAGTCAGATAACTGATATAGAACGTTTGAAATAAATAATTTATTAGTTAACAAAATACTAATCTTAACCTTAATCGAGAAAAATATTATATTATCGTTATAATTTCTTCTAGATATATTATTTTGAACACTATTTTTTGAAAGGTACACTACAAATAGGTACAATTGCACATATATCAAGTTGACTAAAAAAAATAGCAAATCTAAAGTAAATTAAAAAAATTTTAAATATAGCACGATTTCAAATCTAGCTCGAATGAAAATGTATGAAAAAAAAAATATTAACATATCTCAACATTGCAAATCTATTCATGATAGATTATGTCAGTGATACACGTCTGTATATAATAGAGTCTATCAATGATAAACACATATTAATAGAATGAAACTAGAATATAAGTGATAATGTAATTTTCATTTCCTATGAATGTTATTTAGTATATCATTTATGTACTTTTTTTAGCATGTAATAGCATAAAAGAAATGGAGAATTGTAGGGCCAGTTCTCGTTTCCAATTTTATTAAAAAAACTTAAGCATTTGACAACTATTTGCGTGTCATGTCAATTACCGTTGAACTATGTCCGTTTTGATATAGTTTTATAATTCTTGAATTTAGGTGTTCGGCCATGCAATTTTAATTTTTTTCTCTAAAAAAGAGGAAACGTAAACTAAAGATTATTTCTAGTATAACTTTTAGGATACAAAACGTGAGAAATTGTGAAAATTGAGTTTTTTTAGTCACGGTAATAGGGTTACACTAGTCCATTTTTTATTGGTCTGTGACGGTAAGCCCCAGTGTGCAGTCATTTTAGCCTGGCTCGTCGTAATAGATATTATAAAATTGCCTTAATTCTGCCTGGATCGTTCCAGTATGCTCCAGCATCTCCGTTGTGCTGTTTAGTGTTTACCCTTCAACTGGTGAGTGGCAAGCTTTCTGTAAGCGGCATAGTCCACGTTGCTCTATTGAATTTCGCATATCTTTGTCGGCTACTCTGTGAATTGTTTCATAATTTCTTGTTGATCTTGAATATCTATCGTCATTTTCATCAAGACGTGATCGGTATGATCCACATAGTTAACTAATGTTGCTTGATTCTGCTTGAGAAAAGCAAAGTTATGCTAGGGCATGTGGAATAGAAGTTATGCAGGTCAATGAAATTTCGTTTTCGTAATCATCTTCTTGTCAATTTTTACAGGTTATCGAGTTCAATCGCTATGGCCGAGGCTGCTCCTAATGCCGAGTTGTTGGAATGGGCCAAGAAAGACAAGCGCCGGTTTCTTCACGTTGTGTACCGCGTTGGTGACCTTGACCGCACTATCAAGTATAATGCTATTATTTGGCGCAAGCAATTTTGCGTTTTGCGTTTGAGTGGTCTGATTATTTGTGTTTCCCTTTGCCGGTTTTTGTTTCCAGGTTTTATACTGAATGTTTCGGGATGAAATTGTTGAGGCATAGGGATGTGCCAGAAGAGAAATATTCTAATGCCTTCCTCGGGTTTGGCCCAGAAGAGTCTAATTTTGTGGTGGAGTTGACATATAGTATGTACCTCATTCTCCCTCATGTCTTTTTAAACACGCTCTTGCATATCGATGATTATGTCTTCGGATTAAGCGTGATATACTCTTGCTTGAAGTCAACGCGAAAGGTTCTAAAATCTGAACAGTGGGGCGGAAAACTTAAAATTGTGGCTTTGACTCATTTTCTCGACTATATTATCTTATTCTAAGCAAAAGCTGTTGATCGGTGAATGTATCATCATCATCTCGATTCCTATGTTATACATGATCTTATTTTCATCTGTCTTCCACAATATCTTTTCTGCTGGTTTCTACCCAGCAAAGTTACATGGGCAGGGGAGAAATGAATATCCTTGCTTCCTCTACCTAGTCGTTGAAGTTTCAACACGATGAGTGGATCTAAGTTCTCAACTTGGATGTTTCTGATATGTCATATTGATGGTGTTTTGCAGATTATGGAGTTTGTTCATATGATATCGGGACAGGCTTTGGCCATTTTGCTATTGCAACTCAAGATGTATGTATGTCTCTTATTAGTAAGTTAAGTTGTTTTCCCTTTGGCTTAAACTGACCTCTTTTCGACTTCTAGGTATATAAACTTGTAGAAGATATTCGAGCCAAGGGTGGGAGCATTACTAGGGAGCCTGGTCCTGTCAAAGGAGGATCCTCTGTTATTGCCTTTGCAAAGGACCCTGATGGTTATGTTTTTGAACTCATCCAAAGAGGTCCTACTCCTGAGCCACTCTGTCAAGTAATGCTTCGTGTTGGTGATCTAGAACGCTCTATAAAGTTTTATGAGAAGGTATCCCATTCTAAGGAATTTGCTTGTCTGTGTTTAATATTCTACCCATTTACTGGAGAGACTGTTGGAGAGAAATTCTTGAACGATGTCATGAAACGTATTAACAGCTGGTAATTATTCCAAAATGAATGGTTGTACCAAGACTGGCTTAAGTGTGCAGATAGCAAAATAAATTGTTTTGAGATTGATTGGTGATAGAGTCTGAAAAGCTTTGGAAATAGCTGTTCTTGTTAAACACAAGTGTTTGAGATGTACGTTCATATTTCTTTGGTAACACTTAACAGATTTTCATTAATATACCTGTATTTTATGGGTTTCTAGGCCTTGGGAATGAGGCTATTGAAGAAGGTTGACAGGCCAGAATACAAGGTTAGCTAGGTTCTTTTTTTTATAGTTACCACTTATTCTTTGTGTACGAGTTTATCTTTCATTTTTCTGATATTGAAAATGCATTTGGATCTTTTAATTTTTCTATATGCGTCCTGCAGTATACCATAGCCATGTTGGGATATGCAGATGAATTAGAGACAACAGTGCTGGAGTTGACTTATAATTATGGTGTGACTGAGTACACCAAGGGAACTGCATATGCTCAGGTGAGTTTATTGTACACCTTTCTCTATCAGTTATTTATCTATTTATTTTGAATGGAAACTCCTCTTTCTACTGTTTACTCATTGAAAAATCGTTTTGATATTTTTTCAGATTGCTATCGGTACTGATGATGTATACAAGAGTGCTGAGGTTGTCAAACAGGTTCATGAAGAACTTGGAGGAAAGATAACCCGACAACCAGGACCACTTCCTGGACTTGGCACAAAAATTGTTTCCTTTTTGGATCCTGATGGTTGGAAGACTGTAAGTATCATATTGTGATAGCTCTATATTCAATTTGGTCTTAACATTGTTTATTCAGCTAAAACTTTCTGGTACACATTCAATGTTCAAAAAGAAAAAATGGAAGACTATAAATATGGGACTAGAAAAAAGATAAGCGACTTTGGAAAAAAAGAAAAGGCATTTTCCCTTCTATTTTGAGTCATCAATGGAATTTGAGAGTAGTACTCTGGAAAAAACTACAATTATGTGTTTTTTCTAAAATTACTTTAAAAACTCTTTTCACTTCTTTTAGAAATTTTAGTACTTTGGAGTATGTAACCTAAAGTCCTGTCGAACTTACTCCTATAGTATATGCAAGATATTATTACAATTTTTGGGTTTTAAGGTAAGTGCATTTTTCCAAAAAAGCATGGAACTTCAATTGCATGTCTTTTGCTTGTGGAAAATCTTCCACTACAAGAATACAAGCTGTTTTGAGAATTAGCTTCAAGAATGTTCTCCGGGAAAAAATAATAATTTGAAATAACTGACAAAGATCTATTAGTTAGTGCAATAACCTGTGATGTTTAAGTTTGAAAATAGTTCACCTATGACTGGTTTGACGAAAAAGTTGATGCCAAACATATTAGAGTGCAAGTCAGTGCACACAGACTTGAAATTTGAGGCAAATGTGATTCTAATCTACCATTGAAATCCAACTTGTTTGTTAGCTATGAGATCTGAATTAACTTGATAATTTAGTTATGGCAAAACTTTTTGTTGTTGGTGTAGGTCCTTGTTGATAATGTTGATTTCCTGAAGGAACTGGAACAGCAGTGAGCTGTGTCTTGAATAAAACCCCACCAGTGAGCTTATGTGGTATCTATCTGTCATATGTTAAATAATGTAGAGTCCGGTGATGGCTCCAACTCCATATCTTTCAGATTTTCTAGTGGTTGTAAGTTGTAACCATTACCATGTGTCTTGAAGGATATAGCTATGCTGTGCCCTGGCCTGTATTATGCTTTTAAAGCACAAAGCAATCCACAGCCTCTACTTCTGAGTAGTTTCTATGTTACTTCACTTACTTCCTCTTACTATGGCAGAAATTGTACCATTTGCATGAGTGAACCCACTTTGTTTTTGTTTTGTTTCGTTGAAACAAAGAAATAATTCATTAAAAAGAAGATAAGAGACTAAGAGGACAACTAATGGTTACATCAAAAAGTGGTTACCATCACAATCCAAGAAGAATAATTCTAAAAAATAGAGAAATGATCAGAAATGGCACACTTGGTGAATAAAATATTTTGTGTATAAAATATTTTGTGTTAGGAGTATGATCAAATTTTAACCCACTATATACCTTCTCCAAACTTACAATATAAAGTTACAAATATCTTCAAACTCATTCAATGACAATTATGTTCACTTCAGTGATTGTTCAATTAATTTAACTATTAGCTACTAATAAATTAACTTTAAATGAGGTGCTACTTTTATTAATTTTATGGCTTTTCTTTTTTCTTTTTTCTTTCTCTCTCTTCGATGATTCCTCTATCCTTTCTCTCCTCCCTGAGCGTTACTTGACAAAGAAATGGGACTACAAGTTCTTTTTTTGATTGGTGTGTGACGGTAGGCCCCAATATTATAAAATTAGAAAATACTTCGTTCCTTAACGATAATATTAAAAATCAAATCTTGTTGTTGAAAAATTGATAAATCTTTCATTTTTTATAAAAAAATCACCATCTTTACGTTTCTAGCCAGACATTTAATGAGCAAGATTGCTTAAGGAGGAAGTATTTTCATTATAAAATAAAATTGCCTCTGAATTCTGCCAGGAACGTACCAGTACACTCTCAAGCTTACTCCGTTGTGCTGTTTACCCCTCAACTGGTGAGTGGCGACCTTTCTGCCGGCGGCATAGTCCAACTTGCTCTATTGAATTTCGCGTATCTTAGTCTCTACTCTGTGAACCGTTTCATAATTTCTTGCTGTTCTTCAATGTCTATCCTCATTTTCATTAACACGTGATCGGTATGATCCACAAAGTTAATTAACGTTGCCTGATTCTGCTTGCGAAACGTAAAGTTTTACCAGTTCATGTGGAATAGAAGTTATGCAGTTCAATGAAATTTTGGTTTCGTGATCATCTTCTTATCAATGTTTAGAGATTAGTCGAGTTCAGTCGCTATGGCCGAGGCTGCGTCTCTTGCTCCTAATGCCGAGTTGTTGGATTGGCCCAGGAAAGACAAGCGCCGGTTTCTTCATGTCGTGTACCGCGTTGGTGACCTTGACCGCAGTATCAAGTATGATGCTCTTCTTTGGCGCAAGAATTTCTGCATTTCGCGTTTGAGTGGTTTGATTATTTGTTTCCAGGTTTTATACTGAATGTTTTGGGATGAAATTGTTGAGGAAGAGGGATGTGCCAGAAGAGAAATATTCTAATGCCTTCCTCGGATTTGGCCCAGAAGTGTCTAATTTTGTGGTGGAGTTGACATATAGTATGTACCTCATATTTATCCCTCGTCCGTTTCAACACGCTCTTGAATATCTGTGATTATGTTCTCGGATTAAGCGTGATAGACTCTAGCTTGAAGTCAACGCGAATGGTTCTAATATCTGAAGGAACAGCGGGCAGAAAACTTAAAATTGTGGCTTTAATTTATTTTCTGGAATATATTAGCTTATTCTAAGCAGAAGCAGTTGATTGGTGAAAGTATCATCACCATCAATTTCTGTGTTATTCCACAACACCTTTTCTGCTGGTTTCTACCCAGAGAAGTTATCTTTGCTTCCTCCACCTAGTCGTTGAAGTTTGAACATGATGAGTAGATCTAAGTTCTCAACTTTTCTTTACCAGAGTTGTTTGCAATTTTTACTATATTAATTTGATGATAAACTTAGATGTCTATGGTATGTCATATTTTTTTTATATAATTTGAATTATTTTAGTATTGATTTACTTCTTATTAGGTATCCAATTATGATTTGGATATAATTTAGATTTCAAATTCCTTGTATCTAAATTTATTTGATTAAGATATTACTTGTTTTAGTTGTCTTAATCCTATTATAAATGGATGTGTAGGGTTGTATCCAATTTGACGATTTGAATCAATAAAATTGTTTTGTTTATTTTACCTATTTTCTCTCCTCCAAAATTTATCACATATGGATGGTGTTTTGCAGATTATGGAGTTAGTTCATATGATATCGGGACAGGCTTTGGCCACCTTGCTATTGCAACTCAAGATGTAAGTATGTCTCTTAATAGTAAGTTAATTTGTTTTCCCTTTAGCTGAAACTGACCTCTCTTAGACTTGTAGGTATATAAACTCGTAGAAGATATTCGAGCCAAGGGTGGGAGCATTATCAAGGAGCCCATGGTCCTAGGAGGATCCACTGTCCTTGCCTTTCTAAAGGATCCTGATGGTTATATTTTTGAACTCACCCAAAGAGGTCCTACTCCTGAGCCACTCTGTCAAGTACTGCTTCGTGTTGGTGATCTCGAACGCTCTATAAAGTTTTACGAGAAGGTATCCCATTCTAAGGAATTTGTTTGTCTGTGTTTGATATCCTAGCCATTTACTGGAGGGACTATTTAAGAGAGATATTCTTGAACGATGACATGTAATTTATTTTGACATGTGTAATGAATACTTGTACCAAGACTGGCTTAATTGTTCTGAGATTTATTGGTGATAGAGTGCACTTCATATTTTAGTGTACCTGTATTTTATGGGTTTTCTTTGCGTAGGCCTTGGGAATGAGGCTATTGAAGAAGGTTGACATGCCAGAATACAAGGTTAACTAGATTCTTGTTTTGATAGTGACCACCTATTCTTTGCCTACGAGTTTATCTTTCATTCTTCTGATTCTGGAAATGCTTTTGGATCTTTCTATTTTGCTATATGCGTTCTGCAGTATACTGTAGCCGTGATGGGATATGCAGGTGAATTAGAGGCAACAGCGCTGGAGTTGGCTTATAATTATGGTGTGACTGAGTACACCAAGGGAACCGCATATGCTCAGGTGAGTTTATTGTACACCTTTTCTCTATCAGTTATTACTCATTAAACAATCGATTTCGTATTTGTTTCAGATTGCCATCAGTACCGATGATGTATACAAGAGTGGTGAGGTTGTCAAACAGGTTACTGAAGAACTTGGAGGAAAGATAACCCGAGAACCAGGACCACTTCCCGGACTCGGCACAAAAATTGTTTCCTTTTTGGATCCTGATGGTTGGAAGACTGTAAGTATCGTATTGTAATGGCTCTACATTCAATTTGGTCTTAACATTATTCATTCAGCAAAAATTTTCTGGTTTACATTCAATGTTCAAAAAGAAGAAAATGGAAGAAATTAATTATAGTTTACTTTTGGGTGGGAAGATGGGACTGCAATCAGATATCTTTTGCTTCTGGACAGTCTTCCGTTACAAGAAGACAAGTTGGACTACCTCTAATTGTTGTTTTACATGTTCCACATGTATACTGTTTTGAGATTTGCTTCAAGAATGATAATTTGTCAGTGCAATAACCTGTTTGTTTTAGTTTCAAAATAGTTCACCTCTGACTGGTTTGCAACTTGAAATCCAACTTGTTTGTTAGCTATGACATCTGAATTGACTTTGTAATTTAGTTATGGCTTAAACTACTTTTTGTTGTTGTTGTAGGTCCTTGTTGATAATGTAGATTTCCTGAAGGAACTGGAACACCAGTGTCTTGAAGGATCTAGCTATGTTGTGGCCTTACCTGTACTTTGATAGTAAACACTCCACGAGCTCTACTATTCTATGTTACTTTTATTTAAGACTGATTTGATAACGTTTTTACTCCTTATTTCTATTTTCTCTTTTTTTTTTTAATAAAGGAAAATAGAATTGCATAGCCATGCATTCATAGATTCAAAAATGATAAAATAATTTTTTTTTTATTTATGGCAGCCGGTTCTAAAGCGTTCCTAATTCATTTTGCTCTTGGGCGCTCCATTCCAATCCAGCTTTATCCTCTCTTTCACAGAGGTTCATTTTGAACCACAAGTGTCTGCTCACCCCTGTTTATAGATAATGATTACGATTTAAACTATAAACTTTATAATATAACAATTTTGTTTTTTTATCGATTTAAACTATAAACTTCATAATATAATCATTAAAAATTTATAACAATTTAATTTTTATCGTAAAAAAATTTAGTGGGTAGTAACGAAAGTTTTTTACCTATATAGATTGATAAATTAATTGCTCAGTTTTAAAAATGATAGAGATTAACCTTCTTTTTTTGGCGTCAAGAAAGTTAAAAAATGATTTTAAATTATTTGAAACGAATTAAATTACATTTTTTGTTGGTATGTTTACTGAAAATGGAAAAAAAAAAATTATTGATTTCGGGCTTTTAGCCTAAAATTATCAATTAGAAATTAAAATATGACAAGAGGTTAAATAGGTAATTTATTTTGAAGGTCTATGAAATCCCGTAAAATCCGAGCATTTTGATATGAAAAAATTTTTAAATAAAAAAACGATTTGAAATTCGATAAGATTTTAAATCATTCAAAATCGTGTGGTATCAATTCATTTAAAATCGGTCATGATTTTGAATTCTTTCAAAGGAATCAATTCATTAGATATTAATGTTGAGACACTGAATCATTATCAATTTTAAATTATAGAAATTAAATTGTCATAATATTAAAACTCAAATAATTAAATCGTAATCTTCCTAGCAATGGAAATTTTGGAAATAAACATTTTTATGTTTTTATTGTTTAAACTCATTTCTTTTCTTTTTTTAATTAGAACATGTAAGATGTAATATTTTATAAATGATATAATATTATAAAATATTAATTCTACCAAATTTATAACTTATGTTTAATAAATTAATTAATAACATTTTAGATTAAACTAAATATGATTTACCAATATATTATATAACACATGAACAATTTTTCCCTTATTTTTTAGATTTCTTTTTCTAAATGATCAATCGCACTCTAGGAGAATAAATATACTTTTTAATATTTTATTTTCCTTACTTGTTTTTAATACAACATATTGAGAGTATAGGGGCCAAACTCCCAATCTCAAAAAAAGTAATAGGTGTCAATTACTGCCATACTCGTGCTAACTTTTTTCTTGTTACCTTAAAGCAATTGTTTAAAGAATCTTTTAAGTTATACTTGCACATGAGATTGGTCAAAAGGGAAAAAAAAGAAAAGAAAAAAAACACCAATATTACAATATTTAAAAGATCTGAATGTTAGAAACTTGTAATTACCATTCTTCAAATTAATAACATGAATTAAAACTATTGACTCAACTCAACAACCATGAAAAAATTCCAACATATCAAATGGGCCCTGGCCCCTAATCTAATACCCTCTGAATGTGAAATGAAATCACAACAAATTTTCAAAGAAAAAATTGCTCTCCAAGGGATAAGTCACCAGTAAAAGTTTAGTATGTGAAATCCTTAACAGAAAGAAAGCTTAGTCCGTCCACCTACCAATTCTTCCAACTTATACAAGTTTTCCTATAACTATGGCAGTTGTTAAAACTTAAAAGAATGATGAAGTCAGAATGAAAACAAAGGATTCTACTAAAAAGAATGTATCCTTGTAGCACCTGACTTCTCAGTTCTCCCAGAACCCGAATCTGGCATTGTTTTCTGCCAGATCGATGTGCATCAGGAAGAAAGAACACACTTTTTTCTGCCTAAGATAATGTGCAATCAAACTATGTCAACTGGATAACAACCAAGAACGCGAAGAAACCTTGCAAATTCCTGTAAGAAAACACCGTTCTATAAGGCCTTGTTTCTAGTTAAAAATTATGTTCATAAGTTGGAGCGAATGGATTTCTTAGTTCTTGAATGAAACACAGGAAATCGCAATCCATGCACTCAAATTTGATAGAAAGAAACACCTAGGAATCACCACGGTATAAATGTAACAATTTTCTCAAGAAATACAGCAAGCATAATGTGGATAAAGTGCAGGCTAGTAAATGAAATCAAAACTTTGAAACATAAAGCAGTCTATATTGGTTAAGATAATGCGCATCACGACTGATATTCGAGTGTCCAACCAACAAACTGCAGCCATCAAACAAACCATTAACAATTCTATACTTGGCCCAGTACAAAATGACACAGACATTGGCATTCAAAGTGTCTAGACATAGAAGATTAGAGATGTGGAGTGGTACAACTCAGACACACCCTTTGCAGTTATCCATCTTACAACATTATACCACAGATGAACATATAAAAGAAAGGCCCAGGTTTGAAAATTAACATTAGGCAGTTGGTGAAAATGTTTGTTTTGTTAATTTAAATTGTTTGATCTTTCTTCCTTCACACGAAGCAGAAAACTTGATCTTAAAAAACATGACATTATGGCCATTGAATTGAGAAATATTAAAAAAACATGACATCGGGGCTAATAAGGACTAACTTATGCGTACCTCGACTAATCTCATAAAACAACGACCTGACCCTACTACATTAGTTGTCAAGGAAACTTGTAGGATGTTAAATCCTAGGTAGGTGACTACCATGGTTTGAACTCATTCCCTCTACCCCTTTACTATTTGTGGTTGTCCTTATTAACCAATGACCACTAGGCAACTCATGATGATTCAAAACAGAGATTTAACTTTACCTTAATCCATAAATTATAATGAACTGACCTGTAAATGTGCCATAGCACATTGAGCTCGTGGATCCATCATCGAAGCTTCGAAGTCTATGTAAAAGAGATAATCAAAATATCTGCCAACAGCAGGACGATAAACTTGCATCATAAACCATTTTAGTCGATAATAAATTGTCCTTAGGGAACGAGAACTAAGGCAGTTGTATGGTGAGATGCTTTTATCGGTTATCAGTACTTATTTAATATAATTTAGCGTGAGCTACACATACAACAAAAATTGTTCTAAAATTTTAACATACAGTACATTCTTACTCACTTTGCTCTCCCTTCATTGGAATCATCAACAACCCTTAGAGGACGTTGTCTTTGTGGACGACTCTCTATCTGAATAACTCCAAATAATAAAAGTTAAAGATGTAAGCCTGTTAGTAGCTTAAAGGCACAAAAAGAATAACAAAATCTAACTTCTGAGTTTACCTTTGTCAAATTAATCTCCCGCAAGGAAAAGACCGCCAAGGCTTTGAATAGGACACCGGGACCTTCCTCAAGAGTAAAGACAATGCTGGTCTGAAGGGGAAGAAGACTTTTATTAAATATATATATAAGCAAAGGCCATAAGTATCAGCGATTTTTTTTTTACCTTGTACAGTTTATCTGTTCCTGGAATAACGGGTTCTCTTGAAAGGATCAGAAAACGAGTTATGTTGTTATCGTCGTCCTGGCCATTTCAAATAAGGGGCATATCACCTTCAAGTGGCATAAAACAACTAGCAAATTTTAAACATACACATATAAAACATTGTTATACAGATAATGTCTATAAAACAATTGGACAATACAACTTGTTCCATCAACTTTTGTATCTGAACGGTGAACATAGTTTCCTGTTGCTGTAGGAAAAATGTTAGCTTTCATGTAGAATTGCTATTTTGACAACTTTTTGCAGCTGCATAGGATATCAGCTGAACTTTTACGCCAGGTAAATACACCATAATATCTATCCATCTCAACTTCCCCATCTTCCACTGACACGGTATCATGAACTAGCTGTTAGGCTTCCAATTGTTCAAGTATACAGAAAGGGCAAACAGGGAAATTCGACCCCCAAGTTACTAATGTGGGGGTGGGCACACGTGCTATAAAAAGAAAGTAATAGGATTCTTTTGCCAGTCTGGAAATTAGTGTGAGTGATATAGTGAAAGGGAGAGAAGTTAGTCTTCTCGAATTCTCTAACAGTCTCTTTGTACTGTTTTAGTGCTTGTAAATATCCTTCGGGACCAATATCAATATACCTATCACTAGCCCAACCATTATCTCTTCTTCCAGTTTTTTGTGTGTTTAGAGGGAAGGAGGATTGCTGCAATGCAAGAGAATGAAAACTTTGATTTTCATTTAATATCCTTCGAGCTATATGAAACAGCTAATTGGAATTAAAAAGAAGTTTTACCTGAACATTTTCTGCAAGAATATCGAGCCCATAAATTTCTGCAGCTCGAGCACTTGCAATCGCTCCAGTGTCTCTTTTGCCACTTGAGGCCACCATCTACCCAGAATTTTGCAGTTATTACTGTAAAGATCTCTCGTGCAATGAAAGACCGAATTTAGGAGAGAAACAAGGAAACTTTCAGAAAGAACCTGAGCAGCCATAGCGGTGTCTTCACTACTGATCCTGAGAACGCCTAATGCGCTTAGTGATGTCTCACATTGATCTAAAGCCTGTTGATGAGGTTGTCATTAAGCGATATCACCAAATTGAGGACCAAGATCTTCATGAAAAGAAAAATATAAAAGTTTATTTGCATATAGTTGGACCTAACAGCCCAATGTCAGGGGACTAAAATTTGATAGCAAATTAAAGAGGTCGTGGTTCAACAATTAGAATTATTCTAAAATGTCATAGACAGAGAAGCCAAACATGTTAATTGCACGTTTATCAGTATCCAGTCCATATTTACAGGTATATACCAAATATTTTGGTTGGAGATAAATTATAAAACAAGGACCATATTACAGTATAAACAATAGGACTGACATGGGGATGGCTCAAAACATTTTTCAGCTCCTCCTTCCTCACACCTTGCAATGCCAAGAGGCAGTGGTTAACTTGCAACTGCACTTCCCCAGCAATGTGTAACCTATGCCGAAGAAGTAAATCGTAATTACGATGAATGCTTCCACCAACAGAGTTCTCAATTGGAAGAACAGCTTTCTCAACAAGCCACAATTCAACTGCCTGCAAAAAGTATCCTCATATTGTCAAAGGAACAGCAACGAGAAATATATTGACCAAAACCAATCGATGAACCTTAAATGCAGCTTCAAAATCGTCACATGGGACAGTCTCACACTTTGGGTATGCCTTCATTGCAGCAATCTCGCTATATGCTCCAGGTAAACCCTACACCATGCAAATGAACAGATGACAACGGTACCATTGACATTTGAAAGTAAAGAAAGTAGCCAAGAGCTTCACCTGATAAGCAACTCGAACTTTGGAACCATCATTAGGCGAATGAAGATCAGTTGCAGATAAGGGTTCTGAATTGTTCGTGTAATGCTCAAGGATTAGCTTGGGGGAAAAAAAAAGGTGAAGAAAAACTTGGAAGTATGAAAGGAGAACTATCAAACGATCTAGTACACTTCTTAATGGAAATTTTGCCCCCAGGAAGATCACTAAAGAAAATCAATAACGCTATAGTCAAATTGATAAGTTAATTAATTTGACAGAATTGGACAAATTATACTTTTGCAGTTCTTGAAACTTCATTGTAATGCCCTGTATCATTTGCGAACCCATTCATAAGATTACACAAACATGACATCTAATAGTTTCGATTCTCCAAAGGATAACCAATACGTAAGAACTTAGATTTGTGGAGAGATATTTCTTCTCTTACTTACTTGGAAGAATACTCAAATCCTTACGAGAACCCCTGGGCTCCTTGTCCGGAGTCCGATTAATCGTCTGAGAAGAGTCAACACCAGGCTTTTCACCTTCAACGGGAGTGATAGCTCTCTGAGCCAAAACTTCCATACGACAAGATTCCCATTTCCGCAGCCTGACAAAATCATTCCTCCAGTTCAAAGAATTCCTAGCACACCCAGACCCAGAATCTGAAATGGCCACCAACAGAGAAGAAGTTCGAGCACAACCCTGGAAGGGTCCAGCCTTAAGAGCCATCAAAAGAATCCCAAAACGTTAATCCACAGCGCGAAAATATCACTTGAATCCGGACCCATTTCGACGGGTATGGTTGGTGAGAGATCTGTTGGCGAGTTCCAGTGAAACCCAGTGCGACATTGTCAAGGAAATGGACGAGAACGACGTGATTCGGACCCCACTACTAATTGCTCCGTTGAAGAAAAATTCACGGTAGATCGAACGGAATTAGAATGGGTCTCTTTCCAAGAAACAATTAGGTGAGCAAAATATTAGCCCCACACGTTTCCTCAAGGGAAGATAGACTTTCAGAATGCAGTAGATGGCGCCAAGGGGAAGGGGAGAACAGAGACTGAAAAATAGGGAATATTGAGAATTGGGAGCCAAATCGAGGGTGAAGGCCCACATTTTTACTCACGGGTTTTTAGTGGCAACAGTGGAATAGATTTGTGTACGGCTACTGAGTCCTAAGTGGAGAGGGAAGCTTCAACAATTTCTCCATTTCGAGCAGTAATCACATTCACAGTAATACGTTTCTTCCACTCCACTTTAACTTGACGCTGCAATACAATAACAGTGACCCATCTTCATATTTTCCTTTATTGCATTACATCCAAAATTTGCAGTCATTTTTCTCATTGGGGGGTTTTTGTTTTTTAATGACAAGATTCGTTTGTTGAAAAGTTTGCATATGTTGTTTTGTGCCCCTTCTTCGAACTTGGTAGTCAAGCAACCCCCTTTAAAAGATTAAGTGCACTAAACCTGTTTTATCCACCACTCAACACATAATACATGTAGATTTCACCAACTTCTTCTTTCGTAGGTATTTCAAAAATGGTTTTTGGGATAGAGAGTAAGATTTGTTCAAATCCTATGAGATAGAGTAAAAGCTATATATAATTTTTTTAATTTATTAAGTTATCTAATACATGCTCAATTAAAATTCACAAGATCTCTCCAAGACTTATAGAATTAGTTTGAAACCTAAATATTAATAGACACAGCCTTTAAAATTTTAAAAACCTTTTATTTAGCCCGAACAAATTAGGATTAGGGATACACTTTTTCTTTGACTCCAAACTGGATCCCTTGTTGGTAATTTTCATGATTTTGTAATTAGCAATTCCTTTTATTTTGCAAAAAAGTCTTCTTTAATTATTAGACATCTAAAATTCATTAAATCATATTAATTATAAACTTTCCATTCATAGACGTATTCAGTTCCCATTTTAATGTCATCAACCTAATTATCAAACAGTCGACTGATTTGATTACAAAAAGAGATTGATTTGACCACATTTTACATTATATATTATTAATCCATTGTTGGGCCGAATGGGCAAAACGCTTCACTTCGGGCCGAGACACGTGAAATTTTAATTGGGCCTGGCCTGGCCCATTAACATGGGCTGAGCGGGAAGGGAATTATCCGTTTGGATTTGGGTGGGACAAGCGTCAGTGTCGACGGTTGCATGCTCAGAAGCTGACCACTCGCACGCCCCCACTGCCATAACAATAACCCATTCCTCTCTCTGACCAAAATGCCCCAATTATTACCCACACCCACTCCCCCTGCCCCTTCTTTTTCACCGTTTTGCCCTTCCTTCGATATTTACTTATTTATTGGTTAAATTAAAATATATATATATATCCTTCAAATTTTCAATTTCCAATTTGCAGACAAAACAAAACGACGAGGGTGAGCTAAAGTACAGACATTGGAAAGAAATATCCACAACTTCTGCTTACCCATTACAAAAAGACGCGCCGATTGCGTGAGTGTGTCCACTCTCTCTCGTGCTTCCCAATAAAGTCACGCAAGAT